CCGACCTATCCAACTCCCGGTATCTTGTCTTTGATATCGGTCTTCTCCCCACTCGCTGGATTGAAGCAGAGTACGAAGGCGTGTTAAGCTTCGGGGATGATTTGGACGACGATTCGGAGACTGGGGAGCCCAAGGAGCTGAATCGACATAAGGAAACACTGGCTGGTGACCAAAGGGCATTTGAGGAGCTTCTTAAAGCAACCTATCAAAGACGGTGATCTCGACTTCATGTTGATGATTACGAACATGAAATTGTCACTTTCACTCACGCAATGAATATGATACAACAAACCTCTATCCAGCATTGTCATCGTGCCTAAGCTATGGATCACCCACCTTTCATATGTTGGAAAAGTCTGGTCTTCTTTCTTTCGAAATAGACCGTTATGATTATGATTGTGTTTCAAGAGTTATCGCTGTACATATATCGTATTAAGTTACTGTTAAGTTAGAACTACTTAGCATGTTATACTAGTAGTACCTAGGCTTCCAGCTCTTATTCTCCACACATGATCGAACGCTGGTGTTATGCTAAATATTGATTAAAGAGTTAGGGCTGGGATTGCCGGCCTGTTATCCACTTCCTAGCTTTAATTTTCCCCTGCCATTGTCTCATCGCTCAAGTCACTGGGAGTGTCTGCTTTATTCAAACCCATCGCTTGGCTGTAGATATGTGAGGTTCCAATGTGGTCACTGTTCCAAGGTGCAGGGTAATTAACGTTGTAAGCCGGGGTCTTATCTTATCTCTCTTATCTTATCGTTGTTTCTCTAGGCGGCTTCGGCTGCTGAACCTGCCAAATACACCATCACCGAGGCTGTGATTGCCAGAGTTGATTCTACACACACCATGATCATACCCGAACACTCGTTGAACATCCCACACTCTACCAACTACCAATTGTTTTTCCTATAGTATCCGCTGGGTGTGGCATAACCACACGTGGCTGTGCCATTCTATGGCCTTGGCAATCGAGCTTCAAGCGGACACTTGCCGTGAACATGCCTCTGCCTCGTGACCACCGCCGGTCGAACGTGCGCCGTGCCAACGTCACCGCATGCACGAGATGCAGATCTCGGAAGCAGAGGTGCGACCAGAAACTTCCGGCATGCTCCAATTGTGAGAGAAGCGGAGTCGAATGTATGAGCACAGATATTGATGGCAGAGTCGCGCCGAGAAGGTCTGTCGCCATACCCCTCCCGGCCAACACTTGCCTTTAGCTAACTCATTTCCTTAGCTACATCAAGAACCTCGAAGACCGTGTTGCGTATCTCGAGACCCAGTTACTCTCCCATGGAATCCATGACTTTGAAGCTCCTTCCTCAGGCTTCACGCCCCAGACAAGTAATAGTCTTGATCTTGCGTCTGATGCAAACACCATCCATGAGTTGGGGAGACAACCCGATGATCTGGTCGGCCAGATACCCCTTGAATGTGTACAATCTGAAAGCTTCACTACATCGATAACCGGCTATAATGGACTTTCTCTCCTGCAGTCCTTGCTGGCTGACCCAATAGCCAAGGCGATGGCTGGTAGCAACCAATCTGACCACCACGCTCTCCTCCATGAACTTCCCTACGAAACACGCGCAAGCATGCCTCCCAAAGAGGCAACTATCCGCCTAGTTGACACTTACTTTGAGCACTGCGACTTCTTCTCACCTATAATTTCGTCCAAGGAAGACTTTTTGGCCATGGTTGAGCCCCTATACGGTGCTTCGAACAATGTAGATCCAAAGCTGGCGTGCGCCAAATTTCGAGCCCTCGTCGTTTTCGGCACCGCGGTGCTACTTCTAAACAGGCGTGATTCTTCTGTACCGATATCAAGATCTGAAGGCTATTTTGCTGCTGCAATTCGAATCCTCTCCCAGCATCCCGACTCGATCTGCACAGGGGATCTCGAGCACCTTGCCAATCTGCTACTTCTCGTCCAGCATTTCTGCTTCTCTTCTAATCTCACTGCTGCTTGGCATTTCATCGGACTAAGTACGCGTTTATCAATCGAATTGAATCTGCACAATGAAAGAGCGAGAGGAGCGCAACTGGAGGAGACGTCCATAGACCATTGCAGATGGCTATTCTGGTCAACGTACGTGCTCGAGCGCAACCTCTGTACCATTGTCGGCCGCCCATTCTCCATTCCAGACGAGTCGATCAGTACACCGCTTCCTGATGTCCCCAAGGACAACCCACGTCGACAGCTTGCTTATCACCTGCTCAAATGCCGCCGGCTCGAGTCAGAAGTACATGTGACTCTCAGCCAATGTGCTCCCGTCAATGGTGCCGTGCTGGATGCAGAGACATGGAGGAGGAGCATGCGCCATCGACTAGATGAGTGGTTTACATCCGCCCCCGCGGTAGAGCACTCGACTCAGCTCGCGCCGACCGATATCGTGACCGGATACTATCATAACAATATGGTGCTTCTCTACTACCCTTCGCACCTGCTGCCGATGACATCCTCCGAAGATCTGATGGAATTGGCGCAAAATGCAACCAAGAGCATCGAATGCTATCGACAGGCATTTCGAGCCGGAAAATTGCGCTTCTACTGGCGAACCGTACATAACCTTTTCCGGAGCGGTGTGGCTCTGGCCTATTGCACCTATGCAGCCGCCATGTCTAACAATGAGCACATCGATTTGGGAGATGTAGACGCGTCGCTCAATTCCTGCTCCTCGATTCTCTGGGGTATGGTTGAGAGATATCCAAGGGGAAAGCCCTACCGCGATATATTCGAGTCTATTGTCAGTTCACTCTCCAAGCAAAGAGATAGCCAGAGAGAACAAGTACCACCGGGGGATTTTCCGACTTCAATATTCCATGACATTGTCGGCTTTGATCACACGGAGTTCCCACTTTCGGTAATGGATTCGATGTCGTGGGAATTTAACGACAATCCCGGGCAGGTGAGGTGAATCTCAAGAAGATGCTGCTCTGTAATCACGTGTATGGAATAAGTCGCTGTTTATTTGCCATTCATTTTGTATAATTGCGTTTTCTTTATGTACATATGTGGGCATTACTGGTTATTTACTTGATCTAGTTCCTAAGCGACTTGGGCGGAGTTTACTTGATATAAAACAGTATGTAATTGATATTTTTGATCTAGTTTTATTACAGTTCCTTCAACGGGTCAGGCGGCGCAGGGTCATATTTCAGACTTCTCAAAAACTCTGTCTTGAGCTTGGTCATTGGCTGTAGAACCCAAGTATTGAAGGCTAGAATATCCGACTCCTCCTTTGGGTCTCTGACCGTGTTGAAGAGATATGGTGACTCGAGTTTCCCGGAGGATTGGTTGACCTTTGGCTCCCATACATAGTGCAGCTTCCAGTCCTTCCACTTGATGGCGCGTAGTTCCTCCTTTAGGTAGAAGCAGAAACCGAGCCTCTGTGATTTGACCTCCGTCGGCTTCTGGAAGAACTCGGTCTGGTCAATCCCATCGATTGGACGGTCTGAAGGCAAGGGAGACCCAGTTATAGACAGGATTGTCGTGAAAAGATCCGTAACGTGGACGATTTCGTTTGAAGTGACAGCTTCAGGGACTTTGCCAGGCCACCTTACAATGCACGGCACGCGAAGGCTCCCCTCCATCGCCGTATGGTACGTCCCCGACCAAGGTCCAGCGGTGCCCCGATAGGGCTCTCTGAACTCGGGGCCATTATCGGAGGCAAAGATGAAGACGGTGTTTTCTCTGATTCCAAGAGTGTCGAGATGGTCAATGAGTTGGCCTACTCGGTAGTCCATCTCGGCCATCGAATCAGCAAAGTCACCCTGCTGAGTCTTTCCGGCGAAATCTTCGTGCGGAAGCGTGGGAAAGTGAAGGTGGACGAGAGGATGGTAGAGGAAGAATGGCTTCTCGGCTGCTACCTGTCGCGAGAGCCAGTCCTTGGACTGTTCGACCAACATGTGGTCAATCTCTCTCCTCTTCTCCAAGTCGTAGACACAGATGTTCTCAGAAGGCTCACCGGCCTTTCCCTTCATGATATATGGTAGCTCGGCCACTTCGGGCGTGTATCCGATCGCAGATGTGAATTGGGTCTCGTCCGTCGTGCGCGGGATGCCGAACCACTCGTCAAATCCTCGGTCGGATGGGTATCGGCCGGGAATATCGCCAAGGTGCCACTTCCCATGGTGCGCGGTCGCGTAGTTGTTGTCTTTGAGACACTCGGCCAATGTCTTCTCCCAAGGAGTCAACCCCTGAGGGAAGCCGGCTGGGACTGATTGGCGGCAGCCCGTGCGGATGGGATGCCTGCCTGTCATGAGGGCTGATCGCGTAGGTACACAGTCGCTCTCGACATTGAAGTTGTGCAGTAAGAGGCCTTCGGTCGCGAGCTTGTCGATTCTGGGGGTGGCAGCTCCTCGCAAGATGCCTCCTCCATAACAGCCCAGTTCGCCCCAGCCGAGATTATCGGCGAGAGCAAGCACAACATTCGGTCTCTTCGGGTCGCGTGACATGGCTAGTGAGGTGGCTGTAGATCAAGATTGAGAGATAGTGTCAGGGGATGAAGGTGAACAGACGATCTCCGACCCAAGCTTGATATCTATCCAAGAAACTGAACGCCATGGCGAGATCGGCTTTCATTATTCAAGGTCTTCGCTCACCCCCGACTTCTTAGAGCTCTTTCGGGGCCCTGTATGATCCACATGTGATCCCTTCCCAGTTATTTCGGGTCAATGTCCGTCGCTCACCTCCGAAGACTAGCAAGAATCGTCTCCACCCGGCAGAGTCATGAAATTTAACTCACTCGCTCACCTCCGACTTCTTGTCCTGAAAGGCCTCTTGATACACGCAACAAGCTACGGAGACCCATGTAATCAGTAATTGACGCCATGCACTATCGGGATGACGAACAATCCGGGGAAGAGGCAGACCCTGTGCATCCGTCCATAAAAGTCACATCCTGGCACGACTCGGGGAAAAGAGTTTGATGGCTTGTCCATCTTCATTATCAACATTCATCACACCCTGGACTCTCATCCCGGGAGGTAATCTACCACAATGGAAGACAAACCAGCTCCAGTCATGGACATCGATCGGAAGGATTCCAACTCCAAGTCTGAAGAGCCTGGGCTGGTGGAGCCCATTATGTCTCCAGAGGAGGAGCGTTCTACGTTGCGAAAGTGAGTCGCTATGTAGCCAGAAATATCTTCATTAGTTGGTATCAGACTTACGATAGAACCAGGCTCGACTTTTTCCTCATGCCGCTGCTCGTTAGTGGCTTCTTTGTTCTTCAACTCGATCGGAGCAACATTGGAAATGCCTTGACAGACACCCTTACGACCGATCTCGGCATTACCACAGACGATGTGAATCTCGGAAACCAACTTATGTTGATCGGAATCATAGTTGCAGAGATACCCTCCAACCTTATTCTTCAAAAGATTGGTGCTCCCGTGTGGCTCACGCTCCAAATGTTCATCTGGGGCCTGATAGCCCTCACCCAGGCGTGGTGCACCGGTATCAACTCGTTCTATGCTACCCGCTTCCTGCTTGGCGTTTTCGAAGGTGGATATATCCCTGGCGGCCAGTACATGCTAGCACTTTTCTACACTCGAAAGGAATTGGCATTGCGAACTGCAATCTTCTACTTTGGAAATTACTCTGCTACCGCAACCGGCAGTCTGATTGCGGCGGGCATTCTAAATATGGGCGGACTGCGAGGTCTTTCTGGGTGGCAATGGCTATTCATAAGTGAGTGACTACTTAACCAAATATTGGCAGTGAGACGACTAACGAACCAATGGTTGAGGGTGCTCTAACACTACTCATCTTCCTCGGCTTTGTCGCTCTGCTCCCCCATAGCCCCGAACGAACTGCTCCGATCCACGGTCGTTGGGATTTCTTCTCCGAGAGGGAGCGACAATTCATGAGTATTCGAGTAGTCGCAGAAGACGACAGTAAGAGCGCCCACAAAGCCAAGATTTCATTCGCCAGCCTTGGAGAGGCTCTGCTCGACTACCGCCTATGGCTCCATATGATCCTCAACGTTGCTAGTCTTGCTCCCAAGGGTGGTCTGCAGCTTTACGGACCGCTTGTCATCCGTAGCCTTGGATTCTCAAAGACGGATGCCAATCTCCTCAATGCAGTCAGCAGTGTCCTTGTCATCATACTATCATGGATCATTTCCATCGCTTCGGACCGAACCAAGCTCCGCGGTCCATGGTGTATAGTAGCTCTGCTTTGGTCTGTCATTTTCGCCGGGGCTTTGTTCGCCAAGACGACCGATCCAGATAAATGGCTGCGATATGCCCTCTTCACTCTGCTGAGCGGCGGGAATGCTCTTACACAGGGCTTGAATGATGCTTGGCTCAGTATCAACGCTACGAGCGCGAGCAAGCGGAGCATTGGTCTGGCTATGGTCGTCATCGGGAGTAACTTGGGTGGACTTGCGGGTCAGCAGCTATTTCGATCTTCTGATGCACCCAAGTATTCACAGGCCTTCCTTGCCATTCTCTTGCTTTACGCTGCCTCCATTCCCATCACGTTGGTTATCATGTGGGTTTATTGGCGGGATAACAAGAAGGGGCGAGCCGCTCGGGTGGATGAGACTGAGAACTCGATCTCAGAGAGGAAATTCGATATTTAGTTTATATGCTGTGGTGAGAGACGATAGGACTTTTGTCTCCATGATATGGCTCAGCGCCTTTCATTGTTGGGGGGGTTTTGAAAGACGTTGAACCAACATTGTAAGGAGTTTCAAAAGGCTGCTGAACTGTAAGCACTGCGAAAACTAGAAATTAGCCTGGATTGAATAACACATCAGATATTGGATTTTCAAGCTGATGTATTTCAAGTTGCAAAAGTTCCTTCTGACCCTGGGGGGAAGGGCTGTCGAATCTTGACATCACGGCAACACCCCGGGCCTGATATAACCTGTTCTAGGTTGCTTGAAAAGCTTTTATAGAGGAGTATAAAGCTAGAACTAAGTTAGAGTATAGAAACTGTAGAATAGGAACTTTATAGATATTTAAAATATCTATTAAGCTTTATTAATAAGCTTACTAGACTCTATACTATTTATATTAATAATACTTACTTAATTAATTATATATAATAGATATATAACTATAGATCTATTTCTAATCCTTATTATTTTTAACTATAAGCTTCTAAGCTTCTTATTATATACTTATAGATTAATTTCTTATATAGGGTAAATATATTATAAGTATAGGATTAAATAATTAGATTTTTACTATAATTTTAGTATTATTATATAATATACCCCCTAGATTACTAGAAGTTTAATAGGTTTTAGTTAAATATTTAATTTAATAACTAAGTAGAGTTTTAATAACTTTAATATATACTTATAGAGATCTATAAGAGATTATAACTTAAAATTAATATATATAATAATTTAAATTAGATTATTTAAACCTAAGGATATAGAAGTATTATTTATATCTTCCTTAGCTTTATTATAGGTTATATATATACCTAATTTAGATATATAAAAGTATAGCTTTTATTCTCTTATAATTTCTCTCTTTTTATTTTACTTCTACTATAGGTATTAAGCTTATAATATAGATATTTTTAAATATATTACTAGGTAGATAATTTAATATTCCTACTATACTTTATTTTATTTATTAAAGTATTAAATTATTTACTTCTAAATTTATACTTCTTTTCTTCTTATAACTATATATTTTATTATAAATCTTTTTATATTTAGA